GGTTCCCGGGAGGCCAGCGCACGCAGCCGGGCAAACACCGCCCTGCAGGCACACCTGCACAGCACCCCGCTGGGGCCAGAACACCGCCAAGCCAAGGGGCAGAGTTGTGGAGCAGCTTTAGGAGTTTGTTCTAAGAGAAATCAAGCACTAAATATACTGCATTTCTAGACAGTGGCTAGGCACTGAATGGGATCATCCTCTCCCCATCCAATCCCCCTCACGCCTTCCCTAGCGGCTAGCCTTATGTGCCAGGAGCAATCAGCACCCTCAAGCGCTCACATCAGACAAAAGGCAGTCCTGTTGCGCCAGACAACTTCTGAAAAGCTGCGTCATATGCACATGTGTACAGACACACAGAGGTGTCACAGCTTGGATGGGATGCCTGGAGCCAAGTGGATTTATTACTAACTGCTTGGTAGGCATGAAGCTCTCTATGCAGGTTGAAGGCCATTTTTGGAGTTATTCTCATAATTGTAACCAGTCTTCACTGGACAGGGGAAGGTGACCATCCCTGCACTCCCGCATGCTTCATGCAGCCTTAGGATGTGAGAGACTGAAGTGCTGCTGACATTAATTGGTGCATAATTGTGCACATGTGGTAGCAGTATTCATCCAATCACAAGACCCTTCAGGTAAATTTCAGGTAAAAACTGTTTGCATTTACTTTTCTCAAAGTCCTGTCAAAATCAAAACACACATGCCCGCAGGTTCCGATTTTGTGACCTGATATACTGAGATTCATCTAACCTACCTATTTCTCAACTTATCTTGATGTCCATTATGACTTTGGTCTTTGGTATTTCCCTTTTGTGATTTTTCCACAACAGGGCATAATTTTTTTTAAAGTGACTACCTTGAATTTTACTTTAAAAACAGCCTTTGATATTGCTATTTCAAAATAAATATAGGAAAAGTAGTTCCAAGAAAGCAGAACCACCAGTATTCAGCCTCACACAATTGTAGACACATTGGAGTTCCTTTGCCGTAATTTTTTTCTAAAATTACACAATCACATTAATTTCCAAGATGACTAACACCATATCTTTCCATAATAAAATTAATTTAAAAGACTCAAGAGTTTGTAAACTTAATGAATTTGGATACAAAAACTATTTGCTCAGACTCTGCTTACCACAAATAAATAGATTTCACAGTTCTTATCTCCTTCAAACATTTTTGGTATAGAGAGGCTGTGATGTAAAAAATCTTTACAATTGATACACTTCAGTCTGATAAGACAATTTCACCAACTGTACTTCCAGTAGGTGAATGTAACTCAGCTGAAAGAAAAAACAACCCTGGGAAAGTAAGTTGAGTGAGAAGAACAAGCCATAACTGATTTAGCCATAACTGAATCATGGAGGTTTCCCGTGAGTCAAATGTTCCAGCAATCTCTTAGAAGGAAGAAAGGAAGGTCTGCATTACTTATGGTAATACAGACTGTTTTCACTGTTAATGCTCCTTTTCAAAATGAGTGACAACAGACAACTACAGAGTGATTAGGTTAGCCTACAAAGCTGGCACCAAAGGATGCTCATACAGAGCATCAGTTACAGTAAAATCATAATTTTCAGTCATGAAACAACAGCTGCTAATTTCCAGTTCTAATGACTAATGCACAATACTATTTCACAGCGTATCCTGTGCTTAAATGTTATGTGTATCAAGTTTAGCACATTTTCTAACCACTTCCTACAATCTTGACTCTTTCAGATGGCCTCCACAGACTGCAGACAGACTGACACAGAACCTTACAGAGCTGAAGAATCCAAAACAAAGTGCAGAGCGAGGAAGTACTGTAACATATTTCCTACTTGCCTTCACAGAGCTCTCACTCTGACAGGAAATCTGAGCACTTTCTTTAATACTTAAGATAACAAGAGTAATACATACAGAACTAATTAGAGCCAATATAAAATTAAAATGTAAGGTAAGACCAAGCATTGTTGACTGTATAGACTGTCTAAATCCCTTTCTTCAGAAATGGCAGAGAGAGTAACATTAAGGTCACAGAATCACTATCCTTTGTTACTGAACTAAAAGAGGAATTCAAGATTAAGTACTTACATGCAAACCTTAAATAAGGAGGTACTTACATCAAACAAGAAGTTGCATCTGGTGCCAACCTATGCACATGCTTCAGAACTATGGATATAGTAAGTGTGGAATGGCTGACATATGGGAAATCATTTAAAATTAATTAGACAGCTAAAAAGAAACTGTCACATATTAATAAAAACAGATTTTAATTTAAGATCAATTGAATAACACATAGAGTCACTGAGGAAAATGCAAAACAGACATTGGTTATACAGTCTTCTCCACAAGAAACAAGAAGAAAAATTCTATCACGGAAATTGTCGACAATGCTTAATCATGAACTGAAGGTCTGCTTCAGATAAAAACAGTAATAAGTATGGTATCAAAAACTATAAGAAGTATGGGAGAAAAGGACTTTTAAACCAGTAAACACATACAACTTTGTATTTGGTTTGCATAATTAAACTTTGGTAGCAGGGGTGTTACAGGGGTGGCTTCTGTGAGAAGCTGCCAGAAGCCTCCTCCATATCCAGCAAAGGCAATTCCAGCCAGCTCTAGATAGACCCGCTGCTGGCCAAGACTGAGCCAAGCAGAAACAGTGGTAAGGTCTCTCTGATAACAGATTTGAGACAAAAAAAAATTATTGCAAAATTGTAGTAGTGACCACAGAAGAACAGAGTGAGAATATGTGAGAGGAACAGCTCTGTACACACCAAGGACACTGCAGAAGCTGGACAGGGGGTGCTCCAGGCCCTGCAGCCCATGGTGAGACAGCTGTGCCTCTGCAGCCCATGGAGGTCAGGGGGTGCAGGGATGCACCTGCAGCCCATGGCAGAAACAGACCTGTGCTGGAGCAGTGGATGTCTGAGAGGGGACTGTGACCTCATGGGAAGCCCACACTGGAGCAGGGAGCTGCAGACCTGTGCAGAGAGGAGCCCATGCTGCAGCAGGGTTCCTGGTAGGGCTTGTGACACCGTGGGGCACCCACACTGGAGCAGCCTGTCCTTGCAGGACTGCACCCCATGGAAGAGTGACACACACTGCAGCAGTTCACAGATCTGTTGCCCAAGGGATGGACTCATGTTAGAGAAGTTCATGGAGAACTGTCTCTCATGGGAGGGACCCCCTGTGTTGGAGCAGGGGAAAGATTCCTCACTGTGAGCAGGAACATGTGAGGAGCTGACCATAACCTCCATTCCCTGTCTCTGTGTGCCACTGGGGGAGGAGGTAGAGCTGGGAAGGAGAGACGATGTGGGAAAGGTGTTTTTAAGGTGTTACTTTTCTTCTCATTCTGCTCTCATTTTTTTAGTGATAAATTCAATTAATATCTCTAATGAGAGCCTGCTTGGACCATGACGGTATTTGATGAGTGATCTCTCCTGCTCCCTGTCTCAACCCGTGAACCCTTCACTGTATTTTCTCTCCCCTGTCCAGCTGCAGAGGTGAGTGAAAGAGCAGCTTTGCTGTCTGCCTGGCATCCAGTCAGGGTCAATGCACAATGGCACTGTAATAAATAATTTACAGTAACACACTGAGTTTTATTTTTACATTAATACTGACACATCCACAACCTTTTCATGACCACTAGGAAAAGTCTATGACACTTCCCTTTTAAACAGATGGCAAGGCAACTTTTGAGGCTAAGACAACTAACTTTTTTTTTTTCAAGCACCTAAGAGTAGCTTACTTTTTGCCATGTAATGCTATGTAAAAATAGACGTTTTAAAGATATACACACTATGACAAGGTAATACTTAGATTCTACACTTTATTGAATCAGAGATACAAACTAAAAAAGGGATAGGTGTTCACTTTCTAAACAGCAGTTGGCAGACTTATGTTCCCTCAGTTGCTTTTATGTCTTTCCTATGAGAAGTTCCCATGCCTGTCAACAGAATAGCTCATGCTGAGTGCTCACTGACCCAGTTTGAAAAAGCTGACTGAGTCAATTTAAAGTTTGAACTAGTCCAGCTGATTTGGTCCAAAGAAGGTAAGGGAGCACTGACATGAATTCAAATGACAGAGCTGTGGGTACAGTGGCATCTGACAAACAGATAAGCAGGTAGAGATGGTGTAATCATTCCAGCCATTCTGGAAACAGGAAAGCATATTCTGAACTGAGCTTGAGCATCTAACACATAGAATGTATACATTTGTTTGATTAAAAAGCAAGGAAATCTCAATACAGTTGAACAGCAAAATAGATGCTTCTGCAGCAGCCACTTCTTTAAAAGACCTTGCAGTTAAAAAAGCAATTTATATTTCCTACAGGGCTTGGCAATGTTTGTATAACTTCTAAGAAATATGTTATAATAAATTATTTGTCTGATAAATATTTGATTATAATAAAATGTCTTTAAACAATTTGATGTGAACAGAAAAAAATCTAAACAGAGCATTTTAAATATTTGCACTTACATTCCTTTTTCCACATATGCACTCACAGAATACACTTTATTCAGCAATACAAAATAATTTAAAAGAGAAAGATAGCTGAACAATAAGAAAGTTCATTATCTTGTATTTGCATGTAATTCATTATTATTGCACCATGAAACCTTTTATTTAGAGGAAATTTAGTGCTACTCACTGGTAACAATTTCAAACTGTAAAAGTTTTCAGTCCCTTTGGAAAGGCCAAAGATGAAACGGCATTTTCATCATTTCATCATTCATCATTTTCATCATTCAACATTTGTCTGAGTATCCTGGACGAATCCTCTCACTTAACAGATTTTTAAACATTTTTCAAATAAGTGAAGTTGTTGCATATCATACCATGACAAGTCCTTCAGATCTGGTCAATCAACTCTTACTGAAGTAATTTTCAGTAACAATGAGAGCTTGATAGTGCTCTAAGTTCTTGTTCTTATTCTGTGTGAGAGACTAACACATTTTTGTGTCCACTACGAAGACAAACATTAGCTGAAATTGAGCAACTCAACTCCTCTTTGTTATCATACAGTTAATCTCACACTTTTATTTTTACAATAGGGAAGACGGAAGTTCAGATGTGGGAAGAGGGCCTTCAGTAAGTACAGTGGAGCACCCTAGCTAATGATTCCTGTGTATTCTAGGGAGCTATATCAAAGTGCTACCAAATTCTGATTCTTGGAAACAAGTGGAAATAAAAGTATTATTCTCCAAAGAAAAGAAAAAAAAAAAAGAAAAGAAAAAACCCCTTCGTTTTACCTCTTCTTCTATCTCAGATATCATGTTCTTATTACACAGATATGGAATGGTTCCAAAATGACAGGCACCTGAATCCAGCCTACTGCCAAAGCTAAATTAACTTGCAGTCATAAATCTCTATTAAATGCTTCATGTAGAACACGTTGCTACACAATCATTTAAAAAACATTTTGATTGTATGTTTGGAATTGCTTGCCTTGGGTTTTTTAGATACTGACTGTGAAGCTGTTAGTCCAGACCTAGAGTTAAACAAAGGGAGGGAAAAAAACAAACAATAAGTGGTTAAAATATACAATGCATACCAACACAGATTTTACAACACTGAATATTTTTCTAGACTTCATTATTTTCAAACAAGTTGCATATTCAAACTTCCAAAAAACATTTACCTTTTTGTTCCTTGTGAAGGATTTGTGTATTGCTGTCCTTTGCTTAAACCTCCTTAAAAATAATTGAAAACAACCAAAATGAGTTACATAAAGAAAGAATGCTTACATACATGGAATAGCTTTTTAAAAAATTTTATCTGTCTCAAGAAGCAGATAATATTATCTGCAACTTGAATACTGTAGTTTATATTACCATTTTTCAAAGAGAAAACCCAAAAGCCTTTATATTATTGAATTATAAGGGATTACTTTGAACCTTGTAATAGTTTTCAGAAATACTTCAGCATAACGTAGTTGATTTTCAAGGTGGTAGTTAAAAACCATGGTTTTAATTTTTTTATCCTGCAGGGGACAAAAATGAAACTTCACCTGAAGTAAGTCTTCCATTTAAATTAAAACATGTTTGCACATGTAATAGCAGTACCACTTTGAAAATTTTCTTGTAAAATATTCTTATTTTAAGTCTTAATTGTATTCTGAAAATTCTAACACATTAGCCTTTAATTTCCTTTTATAAGGTTCCCAAAATAGATCAGGGACTACTTTAGGCAGATACTTTACTACCTGCACTTGCACTCTAATCTGGCCAAAAATGAACTCTTTGTCAAAAAGAGAAACTGCTTCAGAAAACATGAATGATACTGCTGTGGCATGTTACAGATGAAGTTACATGATATATTTTTTTAGCTATAAAACAGAATTGGAAGTTTCTTCCTTTAAGCTTTAGTTCTCATCTCTCTATTTTTGCCAGCACATGACATAATGGAGCCTCTCTGTTAACTGAATCTGAAACAATACACGTTGAAGATGTTTTCATTGATCTTCACTTTAATATCAGTGGCCTCACAAACACCTTTCTGAATATGGTCAGGTGTAAGCAACATACAATTTCCAGAAATGAGCAGTAATTCCTGTGTCACCTTTGTGGCAAATGGGGGGGCACTGACAAACTAACATCACATTTATAAATCTACTTTGTCATGAAAATAAATTTGACATTTTTTAAATAAAAATGTTCACTCCTATATAGGCCTTACTTAAATAAGCTTGTTGTGAAAAATTTCTAACGACCAAAAAGTTCAAAGTACACTACTGCTGAAGTATCTTAATTGCAAAAGCAGACAATGTGAATAATTAAATATATACTAATGCATATACTTACCAGAGAAAATTCTGTTTGAGTTTTCCACATTATAAGTCTTAGTTGGAAAATCCTGTTTTTCTGTTAGCTCCTGGATAAGGCCTTTATTTAAGCAGATATCAACATGTCTGTTAAATGACATTAGATTGGTGGTTTTCTGTTCTGAATTACAAACTGGACAAACAAGAACACTGTCTTCTTTGGCTTCAAAGAAACAGGATGAACTACTTCCTTCTTTATCTTCAGTCTTGTCAAAATGGTCTTCCTTGTCTTGTGACATTCGTTTGGGGAAGACACACTGTTTCATACACACATTTCTAGCAATGTCACTGAGATTGTTAGGCTGTCGTTCTCTGGGAGATTTATCAGGTACTATCTGAGCAAATTTTTCTGTGCTATTGTCAGTAGAGCTGTCAGATACACTTGCAGACTGGTCTGTTCCTGATAATTGATATGTTTCATTTTTTTGACATTTATCAACCCACTCAGTTTTAAACTGTGGAAGAAAGTTAGATGTATTTGCTCTTGAACTGTCATTCTTGGATATTTTCACAGTATCTTTAACACACATCCCATTGAGGCACTCATCAATGTGTCTATTAAGTTCTTCCAAATTATTGCTGCTTTGTTTCTCAAAGCACACAGGACAGGTGAAGATCTTACAAACATTAGAATTCTGTAAATCGGCGTCTTTCTTTGTTTCTTCCACAATATTTGCTGATGATCTATCATCATGAAACAGCTGCTTACCTATGCTTTCATTTGGAGAAATATTCTCACTGTTTAGTTGTCTTGCTGCTCGCTTTTGATCAAAAAAACTCCCTCTATGAGTTGCTTCTGAATTTTTTGTGAAATACTCTTGGTTGGACTTCTCTGGCTGAAGCCTAAGGTAACCAATTTCTTTTCCTGATTTTAAGAAACTTGTAATGCTTTTTTGTTGGTATTTCTTTTCATCTTCAGTTAGAAATCCTGATACTCGTACACCTAATGATGAAAAAGAAACTTATAGCAATTCTATGAAAGCTTGATACTAACTCCTAATTAACAGCTTTTGAGGCATACATTCACTCAATAAAGACAAAATTTATCTCTAAAAAGATGCTAGTCTACCTCCAAATGCATCACAATGTCAATACAATTTTATCAGACCCAAGCACTAGTCCAACCATATTATTAATTTTAGTATTATTAATTATTATTAATTTTAGTACTCTGAAGTTTTAACTCATTGCATTATAACATAAATTTATAAATTCAGTTACAAAGAATTCAGTTTAAACGTTTTTGCATGAACTTCACCCATCAAAACATATTTTTCTGCAGCACTTTCTAATATCTTAGACAAGTAAATTTTATGCACCACTCAATGTTTCAAGCAGAATGCATAAACACCTGAAACATATGTCTTAGGGTCAAAACACAGAGTTTACTGTTGTCAGAAATGTTTGCATCTCCTGCAGAACACTGTGCTGTAAGCACTTCTGCTGATGTGGTGCAAAGAAGACTTAAAAGCTCTTTTAAAGCAGCAGAATTAATCCCTGCTATGACTCAAGTTTCTACTGTCAAGATGATCTGATTGTTGTTGCAATAAAAATATACAGCCTCAATTAGTAAAGCTTCCTAAGTCCCCATTCAGCACTCATTATTAGAACTTCCTAAGTTACTTGCTCAGCACAGATCTGTTTCACTTTGCAAAAATTAGGGTAAAAAAAAAAGGATAAATGCATTAATATCAGTTTTACTTTTAAAGCATGGTGTGTTATTTCAAAAGACTATCAGATTTCCTAACTGTGAAAATGAAGAATGAATTTGAAATATCTTACCCATAAGTCTTATCCGTAGAGGGTGAGGAGCAACACTATCAATTTCTGTTCCTAACAAATCTTTAGCAACAGTAAATATTTCCTCCTCAGTAGAAACAGAAGACAGCACAGTTGAAGCTCTGGTTTTAACTTCGAAATTCACATTCTTAAGCTTCAATGTAACAGTTTTACCCTAGGAAAAAATATGATTTAAAAAAAGGTTTAAAATGTATGTCATATATGGCACAGAAACAATTATTATGTAGCATCTATGTAAAGGTTCTTAAGCCAGAGTCAAGTATGCTTTTAGCCACTGTGTGTCTGTGCAGATAGTCACTTATCTGTGCACAGCAAGGGGTGCTCCCAAGTATCTGTCTGCAAAATTCTGTACTTGCCCCTAAATTCTGTACTTGCCCCTAAATTTCTGCCAAAGTTGAATTCTCTGAACTGGGTCATTTGACTGCAGTTCTCAGCAGACCACCTGCCACGAGTGCATGTTCAGTTGAGTTCATGTTTTGGCCACAGACGCAACATCTACCCCATCTAAAAAAATATATTTCCTCACATGGAAATTTTCAGTGCCAGATATCCTAACAATGAAGAACACAAAAGTGATACCCCATGGCAGATTCATGGAAAACTTACTTCCTCCTGCACAGTGCTATCACAACCACACACATAATTTGTGTTTGACACAGATATTTCCCTGGCAGCACCCCTCAAACAATTTGCGTGATTTATAATGTCTATCCAAACGTAAATAACTAGCACTCTCTTTGGTGCTTTTGTAAGCTTATCCCTTCGTCCTCCTTAGCTGATCATCTCCCTTTCAACCTGTCATCTTTTGAGACAATCTTTTAAGGCTGAAGAAGATTAACAACAATTATTTTAGGTCTTAAATGTAATCCCTTGCTTTACAATAAGACCTTCAAAGAAAATATTTACTTTTTCCAAGTAAAAACCAGGTATCTGGGGAGAAAGAATAAAGGGATTGTTTCTACTATTGATGCTGTTGAATGGTGTGAATAACTTGTCAGCAAGTTCAGCACTAGTCAAGTTCTTAAACTAAAAAACTGGCTATTGACGGGATCCTGTATGTATACAGGAGAGAAACAGTGTTTTAAATACACAATTATTACACAATCAACCAAAGCATGGCTTATGGACAATCAGCTCTATTATTCACTTTGTCCCTTACAAACATTGCTTTTGGCATAAAATGTTTACATGCCAAACAACTTGATTAAGTTTTCATATTTCAAAACCTGATTTAATTTTTATCCTACACATATTGCTAGACAGCCACTCGCACAACAACAAAATGCTGTCTAAGTCATCCTAAACATCTGCAAATTAAAGAATGAAGACTTCTGAAGATAGACTGCATGGTATGATGCTGCTGAAAGCATTTATACTAAAGCTGCATTGAATTGTTGGAGTGCAAAGCATTTTTTTGCAAGTAACCTGAGTAATATAAATACCTTAAGTCCCTCTTTTTGTAACTCTTGAGCAAGGTCTCTGCAGAGCTCTCGACACAAACTGTACTGGTCTTCTGCTGTGTTAATTTCACTGAATGTTCTAAGACAAAAAAATATGATCTTGTTCAGTATGAATCTTATAGTATGTTCAGTGTCTGCAATCTAGAAGTATTTTTTCTACAGTTAAACAACACTAGAATCAGAAGAATGCTATATAGGTTAAAATTCTTACTTCAAGGCACAATGATTATTAATAGGAATATTTTGTTTGCAAAATGTTTGAAAGACCCTTCAAATAATGAAACAATTTGGTTTCAATTTTTCATGCACTATTTGAAAATTATTCAAATTTAATGTCATTGATGCATAAGTATTTGCAAGACAGAATATTAACAGCAAGTGAATTCATAGAGACAGCTAAGTTATTTGTATTTAATCTCATTTCTACACACAGTATAACATAAGAAGAAAGCCAGGAGCTGGAAGTCAACATCAGAGCCAAGTATCGGAAATAAATAATGCAGATGCTAAGAAAAAGATGTCAACTAGGATAATTATGTCTAGCCTCAGGGAAGGAAAAGCTATCTTTCTGCCAAAAATGTTGCCAGCTGTCTTTGCTAGAGCTTCTTAGGACAGGAATTACAGTGTTATCTATTTGTTGTACATTTGCTTTTCAGTAATAACATCACTGGAAAAGAAACCTTCCATTGTTTCAAGAGAAATGGAAAGCAAAACTTATAGACAGTTCAGGCTTTGGAAAGGTCTCACAGATACGTTGTTCCATGTCAAACTTTATATTTACAAATGTAAGGTCAATAAAATTACAGTGGATTTTGCATCTCTAAGCTATAGTCAGTTTCACCTGACTGTACTGAAAAGACATCCTCTACTATGATTCACATTCCTCTAAGAAAGTTTGCACACTGTCAAACTCATAGGCCAAGTATTTCACTGTGGGTGCTACACCGCTATCCAAGGAGTAACTCATGCTATTCAGACAATACTGCAGTGATTGACAAGTTGTAAAAGTCCAAGGCTTGAAAAGGACAGGATAGAGAGAATGCTGTTTCAGGGTTGTCTTTTCCCCCATATAAACTAGTTTCATGATCTCAGAAGCCTGTAGACATTTCTGGTCTAAAACCGTTCCCTTTGAGCAAAAAAAAAAAGGAAAAAAGCAATACAGAAAGATACTATGCAGATGTCCAAAGTATCTGTCTGATTGCAAGGCAGCACAACACTAAAGCCATAAATTTTTCAGCTGTGGTGGTCCCAAAATCAATATTGGGCTTATTTAAGCTGCTCACAGCTATTAGGTTGCAAAATGACAGAACTAAGTATCTTTTCTTACCACCTTTTCTAAGAAAACACATGATGATAGGGATAATTATTAAAGTGCTTTACAGATTCTCCTGGCAGAACTCATTTTTTAAAAATTAATTACCTTCTTAAAGAACTTTACTCTGGTAAAACTTTAGTTAGGAAATACACGTGACTGCAGACTACTACACTGATATTGACATTGAGCTTAAACAGATAAAAAATTTTCAAGCCCATATATATTTCCACCTTATCTTATGGTTTAAAGATCACTTTGATGCATTAAAGGCACTAGCAGAATTGGATGATAAGAGAATACTCAAACTGACAAAAATACCTCCATGGAGTTTTGGAGCTAAGGACAAAAAACAATTCATGCTTGAATCTGATTTAGTGAGCTTGTTGTATATGTGCATTTTTAAATAAAAATAAAACATAATTATATGACTAATAAAAGTATACATTACTTGGTATTTAGTGGTTCTAATGGCTAATGTAATTATTTCAATATTAAAGAAGCGTACCTTTCAGTGCTCATACTTTTTCTTTCTCCATCCCTTTAAAGAGAGAAAAGTTTATTACACTTTCTTGATATAGAAATCTTTTCAATAAACTCAGAGTTAACCAATAATGCTCAAATAACTAACAGCAGTCTTTTCTATTAAGTCTGGATGTTAATTTTTTCTACAAATCTTGTACATCAAGTTTCATCAAGTGCAAAAAGCAGAATTAAAAAAAATAATGTAGATTAAGTAAAAACATAGATCAAACATAGATGTCTTTTTAAAATAAAAAAGTCTAAAAACCAAACAAATAAAAAAGTCCCTCAGAACTCAGCTATTATGTCAGAGACAGTCTGATTCAAAAAGAAAACAAACTACAAATCCTATGCTGTCTTAGCTATAACTATGAAGCATGGCTATTAAAATCTCACACATACATGTATATTTGAATATTTCCTTTATCTGAGGATCTGAGGAAATATACTGCCTTCAGTCTAATAGACTGTTCAGCTTAAAGCTGCCGTATTTATGCTTTTTCTGTTTGTTGCTTTCTTTCTTCTTAGTGCTAATTGAGTATCCTTTAACAACTTTCTGCACATAAGGAGATGCCTCAGAGCAATTTCAGGTCATTCTTCTGTTTTCAAGTATTGGAAATAACAAATTTGGTATTGCCATATTTTCTTAAAAGAAGGTAGTCAGACACAATAAGATGAACTATTTACTGAAGATTCAGGTTTTAATATTTTAAATGGTTGTTTTCTCTACACTAAAATCACTAAAATCAAGTTGGTGTTGACAAAAAAAAATCTTAGACATTAAAACCCCTAACCTTTGAAATGTTCCTTTTTTTTCAAAATGCCCTGGGAGATATTCCAGGCTGTAAAACATCTAACTAGAGTGAATAAGAAGAAAGATTGCACCAATCATTAAAAGACTATCCAAGGTCTGTTTATATATTAACAGAAAAAATATTTTGAAAACTGTGTCTTATCTTTTATCAAGTCACCTTCACCAAGTCAGTCTTACCGCAAATTTTCAAAAATGTTTTTATACTCTGCATAGAAAAAAAAAAAACAACACAAAAATTTGTGCTAGCACATTACTGTGCTTCAAACTGCTCACTACATATATTATTTTGTAGTCAAATGGAAAAAAGGGAAGATTATTGTCAGAGAATTTACAGATATAATAAAGAATAGGTGTGTCAGAAGTGCATAAGACACTTTGGAACTTTTAATAAAATCAAATCATTGTCAAGCTACCTTAAAACAGAATTTCAGTACTGTGGAAAGGAATATCTTTTAAAAAGAAATCAATACTTAATTAAGGGTCTTAGTTAAACAAACAGTAAAATGCTATGCTTTGGGTCTTTTTAAAGAACATGCTTGTCTCCAAGACAGGCTTAGAAATGACAAATATTGTTGAAAAGATATATGCACTGCTAAGACTGATTTCTCCCATACTAAAAAGGAGGCTAAAAGCTATTTAAGTACAGTCAACCTTAAAAGAACATATATTAAGAAGGATATACTGATCTTCAATTCTATTCCACCAAATTCACATGTTGATATTACAAATATGTAATCCTAATAAAAGACATAGAAACTTCCCTGACAATTCACCACCAGAGAAGATCAAATACCTTTGTGATTTTCATTATAATCCAATAATTATAAACACCAATGAATGTGTATTGTTTTTGAAGAAAAGGGAATGTACAACTCTTCTTAGGACACCTCAGTTATGTTCAGCTATTTTGATAATTATAAGGTTATCTTACCTTGATTTCTTGACATACACTTATGTACAACTTCCCTGATGAGATTTTTTTGAATTTCATATTTAGACATGGCTGTACAAACCTTTGTTTTTTCATGTTTGGCTACGGTATCTTAGACATAAGTAGAACAGGTATCAGACATTTTAAAAATATATTAAACAAGCATATATCCATAATATTTGCCAGTTAAATAATATGTTCAGTATGTAACATACACAAGGAAACATTCAGAAACATGTTAACACAGAAGGAAGAAAACCCCATGGCTTACTTTTCCAAATGTGTTGAGCCCAAACCAAGTGAAATATCCAAGAAATTACGCCAAGATACTTCTGAAAAAAGAAGAGAAAGCAGCGCCCTCTGCTGGTAAAGTTCTGAGCAAGTCACAATTCCAAGTGCTTTTAACATCTTCTCTGTTACTTTTCCAATACCTGGCACCTAGAAAAGAGTATGTAACATCATGGTGAAAATATTCCATTTGTAGATCCATTACTCAGAAAATCTGAATCAAATACAACATGGAAGATTACCTAGAAAATTCTATCATTTCAGCAAAAATCTTGCTTCTAGAACATAAAAACATTACATGACAGAATAGTAAATGTCCTTGTGTCTCTTACCTTTCTAATGGGCAAATCTTTTAAGAAGTCTAGCACTGCTTGTCTCTCAGGAGTAATTCTGTATTGGCCATTAGGCTTATTACGATCACTGCACATTTTTGCTAACATTGTATTTGGTGCTATTCCTTGAAAACAAACAAAAACCAATGGTAATTTTCAAAAATTTAAGATGAAGTTTAATTTCAACTATCCAATATTTATAAGCCAAAGAGTAGCCTTTATAATTGGCAAAGACTAAAATAAGGAAAAGAATTATGATTATTCATAAGTCAGGATAACACAACAAGCACTAGTAAGTCAAGAGGGCTTAAATACCAAGTCCTTAAAAATAACATCAGTGACACCAAGTCCTTAAAAATAACATCAGTTACATGAGTCAACATTTTTATGATGGTGATTATGGTAAGAAAGAAAATGCTGACTATGGTAGTTACAATGAACTCTTAAGTAAGGAGACCTTTCTTCCTTGTATTTCAGCAAAAAGACTTTTTTGAGAGAATTTAACAAATTATATCATTTTGTGGGCAACCACTGGAATGTAGTAATTTATAAATTCATATATATTTCACAGACATCAGAGGAATTAGGAGGGATGGCTCTTTTCTATCAAAGTAACTGTTTTTATGAATTAACTCTGGAATTTTTTTTGACGAATTAACTCTGGAATCTTCAGCAAAAGAAAGAATAACTTTGGCCTACAGCCCTAGAAGTCTGCACACTGATATAATGTATTATTCAAGATGGCAGAAATAACTCTACTTATTATTGATTATCAGTATGTTTTCAGTTACCCTTCTATTTATTTTTAATTTGGGGCTTAAGACCCCTATTTGCACTTGTAAAAGCAACACCTGTTTTCTATACACTAACTTATCCTTAAGAAGACAAAACTTCAGTAAAGAAAACTGTTATTCTGCTATTATTCATGAGATAACATACATGGGAGGGGGTTTCATCCTGCTTCTTCTTACTAGCTGTTTCTCTGCCTCTGCTTACATTCCACACTTTCCTGACCCTCTGCAGCTGCTTCATAAAGCTCACCATTGCCTGATGCCTCACCGACCTGGCTCATACAGCAATTTGGATGGCATCCAAATGTGGCTAGAGACATACACTGGTTTTAGTCAATCAAAACAGCTGAGATTTAAAAGTGAGTTGTCTGAAGTCAAGACACAGAACTTTATTGATAAATATTAAAAAGCTATTAAAGAGTTCATTAACTTCAGCATATATGTACTTTTCTAGGACTAACATTTTAATGAATTTTGATATTTTTTTAAGCAAGGAACAGTGTGAAGGTAGAAACACAAAACAGCACACATCTGCTATTCAAACTAAAAGCAGTATAGAAATCAGTGAGATTTAACTATGACACACCGTCTGACAAAAACAATTTACATGATGCACTAGAAAAACCACCTGTGCTAAGATTAGCTCAAGTGTACTAGTCATTCTTCCTCACTGCTTATTCTTACCTCAAGTAGAAAGAAGAAAAAAGATGACATAACCATTTCAATGATTAAAAAAGAGTAAAAAAGAAAATAAACAGTAATGGTTTGGATATTCATGACATCTCTTGAAATAATTGAAAGTCACATTCTTTGCAGACCTTCAAAGATCTTCATATTTTTGTTGCAGGAGACTGTGGCAAGGGTAGATTCTTAATTAATGCCCTCTGAGATGAAAATAGAAGACATGATGGAAATACAAAAATTATTATTCCTATGTGTCTGAATACCTGCACTAGCAGTCAGTTGAGTTTTCTGCTCAATCCTAAAGCGAATTTCCTTCACAACTTCCTCTGCAGAAGTTCCAAAGACAACTGAGTTTTCCACTGATAGACCTCTTTGTTCATGTTCGTCATCCATCAGAGATGTGTTGTCTTCAAACAGCACTGGTGAAGAAGAGACTTCACCTTCGTTAAATTTGGCAGACATATTCACACAATCTTTATCTAAGTTAGACAGGAATACAAACGATTAATGCGTCCGTATAGACTGATTTCCTTCTTCACTGGCTTCAGTGTTCATAAGCAGTTTTACTTCTTTCTATCTTTATTTAGAGAAAGCAATTGCATTGGTTTTTGTTTAAACATTGGAGAGAAGTAACTGCTTCGTTTTTGCTATGATTTGAGCTTGGCTGAGATTGAAGGAATTGGCTAGTAGACTGGAAATAACTTCCAGAAAAGCAAAAGGTTTAATGGCCTGTTGCTGTAGCAAAACCACTGAGATTTTATAATTATTTTTGTTTTATATCAGGTTGGAGGCCATATGCTCTCTTCCACAGAATTTTTTTCAATATTCTCCACATAAAATTAGGGTTCTAGAATATCTAGTTCTAGAATGATCAGCCTGGTGAGCTTCTCATTTTCAACTGCAGTCATAGTAGAAAAGTAATGTCAGCAGTCCTTTATCTGACTCTACAAACATTACGATTACAGTTTCACCCACTGAGCACTTGTTTGTCAGGAACAAGGATATCAGGCAAGTGTGAAGAAGCACATGCTACATATCAGTGACACTGATTTTGTAAAGACTATGACTAAGAAAAGTTTGTTGCTTTCTATTTTATCAACGCTTTTCCGTAGTAGTGTACACTTGATTATCCTCTTAATGACTATTAGAAATTTTGAATACAGGTAGAATAAATATTCCAGTTTGTGCATCATTCAATCATTCATATGACTACTTCTTTTCCATTATTCCCAAGTGGATATACATGTGAAATCCAGTAATATCTCAAACATTTCTAAAATCCTGCAGTGCTCCTGCTGCTTATTTCCAAAATTATCAAGCTGAATTGTAACGCAGACCTAAACCGCACCATTTGGTTTAGAAAATCTAGCACCACTTTTCAAACATTTTATTCTCATTAAAAGAAAAGAAATTCTCCAAGTCCAAGTCATTAGCAGCATACATTTTATTCGCAGGTGAGCAGTAGAGAAAGGTAATCTGTAAACTAACTAAATTGGATGTAGAGAATATATGAGAGGGCAAATTATGGAAGGGCTGATGTATCTACACTTTCAGTGGGTGCAGCTCATCTGAAGTTTAAGGCTGGCAACTCCTGCTCCCCATCCCATGTAATGTGGTCAGCATGTCTTATGCCATTTCACAAGGCAAACAGCCATCCTCTGCTGCCCTGTTCACTCCGCTCCTTGCCCTTCTGCATATCCCAACACCCGGCCAGCCCAGTGCTGTTCATGACCCTGTTGCGGCACTGAGAAGCTGCAGCTCTCAGAGCAGCGTCTGCCTGCAGCCCCCTAGCCCTGCCTGCAGCCCCCCAGCTCTGCCTGCAGCCCCCAGCCCTGCCTGCAGCCCCCCAGCCCTGCCTGCAGCCCCCCAGCCCTGCCTGCCTGCAGCCCCAACGCTGTCTCTCTGTCACCTTTGACAGGTCCTGAGGAAGATCAGGGACCAGAGCTGTCACTGGACAGTGAGACCTGGGACATCCCAATGGCCAGGGACACCTCTGCCTTCATCTGCTTCCTCTGAGGATTGAGGGACCGACTCATGTTCTTTTATATGATTTTTGAGTCCAGATTATGATTGTTATATTGATACAGCAAACTGTGTATCTGCCTAAGATCTCTAAAAGAAACACTCTGTCTCAGTGTCAGGTGACCTCATGAAAAGTAAGTTGCTTACCTATTCCTGTAGTGCTTTCTGTATTAAAAAAGAACCTTCTTCTATCTTCAGGCCAGTTCAGCCTTTCCTCCAAGTGCTCTGTTATGTTCAGGTAGGCTTCATCTAGGCCCATAGGCATAAAATTGGGATCATATTCAGCCAGTATTTCTCTAACCTCGATAAACACATAGTAAAAGTTTAAAGCCGTGTTGCTCTAAGAGCAGATCTTGACACAAAATCAGGACATAAACAAATGTACTCTGAAACTTCCAGATGATCAATAAATACTAGAGATACTGACAATACAAATTATCTCTTGATATTGTAAAATTATGGCAATGCTTCTTCAAGAAGTGAGATATTAATAGCAAGTGAGAACGAAACAGATTTTGAGCAGTGTATTTAACAGCAAAGGGCACTAAGGTATAAGGACTGCACAGCCACTAGGTTCACTGACACTACAGTAACTGACACTGCAGTAACCATCTGAATAAAACTCTGAGAACCTGGAAACTCAGCAACATGAATAAACTGATGCAGTTTTCTGTGCTCAGTGCGTCAGACATCACATATACAAAGGTTAAAGAAACCCATCAGTAACAGTAATTGAACTGAAGTTACAGAAAATATTTCAGAGCAGTGGTTAATGCCCCAGGCAAAATCTGTTAGGAAACCCTTAGTTATAAGTCCATTTCTCTAGAAGGAAACGTAATAAAATAAACAGTCAAAATAAAAGCTCTACCTTCTCTCCTCCCTCTTTTTTTTAAACCTGGGGGAAAATCTGACTGTGTTACGTTTTTTTCTATGTTTTTCCTATCAGTTTGAGTCAAGTCCTTAGGTATTACAACATTCGTCCACATGTACTTCATCCTTCAGAAACTGAATGGAGATAGGATTCTCTATGAACTTTGAAAGACAAAATGAAATAAATTTAAATATTTTCAATCCAAAACCCAAGGGAAAAATATAACTAAAAATCTGGACCAAGCCAAATCTCTAATATTTTAATACTTTACCCTATCAAACAAAAAATGAAATACACATTGTGAAATAAATATCATGAAATCCAAGATCCGTAAGTTCAAAACTACTGTGAAATATGGCATATTTATATATGCCTTTTTATTTCTCTTTTTTTCAGAAGTGAAAAAAATAAACTAATATCTTACTTTATGTTTGTATATTTTTTGCTTTATAAAAATAAAGAAGGCCTGACACAATTTTTTTAAAGTCAGGAGACTTGTGTCATGCACTAATTTGATTTAAAATGTATAAAAGACCTCTTATCCTTTTTTTAAACAGGCTTTTATCTATCACAACTATTTCCTCTGGCACTAAGTAAAACTGCTTCGATTAAAGCAAAACATGATTTCTTTTTTCCATATTTCTTTTGCTCTATGTAGTCCCTTATTTTAAAAAAAAAATTCTATCTGCATTTATAAGTCACTAATGCTCTTTGTTTTTCTCTCCAGTAATTAGTATTCAAAAGTATGATTACACATTACATGAAATTATCATTTCCATGTCTCCTGTGTACTAGCAACTTCCTACTTAACTAGATTACGTTTCATGATTTTAACTTTTAAGAAAAATACAACAAGAGATTTTCAAAACTTCAATCAGCAATGCTACTAACTTCAGTAGAATTGATAATTGGGTAAGTGCAATGCTTTTTCATCTCCTTGTCCAAAAGCACCAATATTTTGTTAGACTTATGTTTAAAGCCACATTACTGAAGAATTTAATATTTAAATTATCACTTTTCATACTATCTAGAGCTGATGTTATGGACACATTTTAAAAACAAGTACACTCACTTTTGGTTAGAGACCACTTTCAGACTTACCTCTTTACTCACTTTGCCGTATTTTTCAAAGTTTAGTGGTACTATAGTTAGATGGGGACATAGCCTTTTAGCAATAAATCCAGGCATGGCTGCACGTACCCCAAATCTCCGAGCATGGTAATTTGAGGTGGACTTAAGAGAGATTAAGTAAGTTTAGTGTTCAGTAATCAAACTTTTCTTTAAGTTTAAAATTAAATAGTTCTAAATAAAAATAAAAGTTCTAATCACATATCCATACAGAAAAGACTGAAAAAGCCAAGAGTTTATACACATTTTCACTCCCCCTCCTCCTGCCTTTCAATCTGCTTACATACTTTAAATTTTAATAAGTACACATTTTACTGAAAAATCCAGTTTACATGGTCAAGTCTAAGAATTACTGTTTCCTTTATTATTTTTAGGTTTTCCACACTTCATATAATACAGTGTAATTTTATTTCTGCTATTGTTTTATGGTTTATTAGGCTTAGGATTCATGCAGTTGGTTTCTGTATTAGTTTAACATTCAGCCTTACCAACATACTCATTGATCCCACTGCTATAGGTTTTTCCTTCAGCTCTGGATTGTCTCGCATTTCCACAGCTGCATAGAAGGCGTCCATGTCAATATGTACAATTGTACTGCTAAGGTTACGGTTCTGTTCCAGTTCTATCACAAGTTTGTCCACCTGAACAGAATAAATCAGTAACTGAAATACTACTAACCTGGCAGAAGTGCAACAGTATAGATTATCTTAAAACTCAGATGAATCTTGCATATAGCTAGAGAAAAAAACCTCAACAAATCCAATCCCCACCAAACCAGTACCAACTAAAAAAAAAAACCAATTAAGCTTTGGAGGAAACTTGCTCTCAGAGAGAATGCTGCTGCAGCAATTGGTCCAAAAAAAGACCCCAAAACCCAGTGGAAAAAACCACAGCTGTTGTGGTTTAGCCCCAGCTGGCAACAGAGCTCCTGCAGCCACTCAATCCCCCATGGTGGAAAAGTCAGAAGAATAAAAATGAAAAAACCCAGGGGTTGAAATAAAGACAATTTATCACAGAAGGCAAAAGCTGTGCATGCAAGCAAACTAAAATAAGGAATTAATTCACTGCTTTCCATGGGCAGGCAGGTGTTCAGCCATTTCCAGGAAAAACAGCTTAATCATATGTAGGAGTTACTTGGGCAGACAAATGCCACAGCTGCAAAGTCTTCAACTTTTGTCACAGGAACCATATAAGGCTCGATTGCTGAGAAAAGTGCAATCAGAATAGCCTATACACAAGTGTGTTCACTCCAAATGTTAAAGATGTATGTCTATGTGAGCAGTATGGCTTCATCAGCTCCATGGTGTTATGACACAGATTTCTCTACAAAGAACTTTGATTGTGCTTAAATTGCTTGTGTTTTTACCAAAAGTCATGCAGATCATTTGTTCCAGAAATACTGTTGACCTATGAATGAGGTGTGAACCATGCTGTCATGAAAAATGGCTAAATATTTAACATGGGATTTTTATGATGATCATGGTGGCAGCAGAATCACACATCATTCTAGAAGTAAGAGAAAATACAAGAAAAAAGCCAAAAAAATGTGCTATCAAAATAAGATTACCTAACCACAGGTTGATTAGGCAACCTCAATCTACACAACAAAAGGCTACTACTGCTAGTAAGAAGCCCCGATAGGCTTCACAACAAGGTAACACAGCAAGAAATGGAATTAGCAAAAAGGAACCAAAGTTTCAATTTGCTTGCAGGCACAAGGCCACACACACTCTCCTGACATCAGGGTACCAGTACAGAAATGTCTCTGGACTGACTAATTCATTTATGGCCCTGGAGACGAATGTTTACATGCAATTTGCATGGTTCTTCTCTCTTATACTTCCCTCAACAGAACTGCTTAATAAAAAAACATAAAAACCTTATCCACGAGAAACATCTTTGAGCTCAAAACACTTGAACCAAGGCAAGAGAGGTTGGAATGTTTTATTTAAATTGCTGATTAATGATTTATAAAGTCTTTTCTTTGTTTTTTTCCAAGTTGCTATGAGAGATGAAATGCTAGACCAGAGCCTTAAACTAGGCTACTCAATAGAGAAGAGCACAGTATGTTCTCTGAGGCTGAGAAAACTAGTTCAGACAATTAAAAGCACAAGGGGGAAGACATTCAAAGAAAAAAAAAAAACCAAACAAAAAACAAACACATAAGTGGGGTATTTACATTATTTCCACTATATTACTAATTCAAAAGGATTAATGTCACAATTCATCAAAAGCATCCTTATTTTAAATTCTGCTTTACAGATAATTTTTAGGTTGCTCTCAAATTCAAATAGTTTAATTAGATAGTATCAAGTGCTGCTCTAGTAGCATAACTTCTGCATTTCAAATTTATCACATTTATAACAAATTTCTGTTTTGCCTTTTCTCCCTAAATATATTGCTAACATCATACTTACTGGTTAGCTAACATATACATCTAAATAATGAAGCAAAATCACATTAAACCAATAAGAAATACAAAAAGATTACTCTTCAGTGAAAGAAACAGATACAAGTAATATGCCAAAACCAAACACAACCAGATCTACTCAGAGAATTCTTGGCACATAAAAAATCTCTCTTTAAAATCTGTGGAGTAATTCCTCACATGCAAGCCAGGCTGACAAGTTTTTAAAAGCTGCTTTCAATAAACCTTTGTCAAGTAGAGATACTTTTTAATATATATTTCCAAGCTAGATTCAAAAAAAACAAACTAAACCACCAAACAATCAAAAACTACAAATTATAATTAGAAGTTTAATTTTCCTTATAAACACTTTTAGACAATTTGAAGAGTTGTTCTTTTTTTCTTATCCCACAGTAGAATATGTAAGTTTTCAAAGCAAGACAGAAAAAGTGAATAAAAGCAAGACAATGGCAACTATTTACAGAATAAACATCCGAGATAAATCCAACATGGATGAATAAAAACAGCAAACATCAGTACAGCAGTTTCCAACTCTGGTAGCAGCTGCACACTTTTTAATTTATTACAAATTACTGCTGAACCTCAAGGAGTTCCACACATTCTAATGGCAAAAACAACATTAGAATTGTGTTGCAGAATCTACATTTTATTCATATTACTATTGCCACCATGTAAGCAGGATTTTGTCCAAAAGTCCAGTACGTGGAGACATTTTCGTTTTACAGGACTTAAATCAACTGCAGCTTAGGAAACCATACTGAGCCTCTAACCGTCCTACAAACAAGACTTCATTTGAAGATGAGAACATGCTGTGTTCTTAGAGGTAGATATACAGATACCTTTGTAATTCCAGAATACTTCCCACTTAAAATTTTAGCAGAACGTAGTACTAAAAAGAAGAGTTAAAAACTCCTATCAGAACGCAGTACTAAAAGGAAAACCTAAAAAACTCAATAGATAAGAACAATAGAGAAAATAATAAGAACTGACTATATCCATAACTGAATGGAGATGATTAAACAACACACAACAATCATTAAGAAAACCAAACAAGACAAAGATTTGCAAAGCAAAAGGTGGAGGCCTGGGGAGATGTGGCTGGCAGGTAAGAAACAGAAAAAGGGCAAGATATTTAGAATATCAAATAGACAGAGAGAAGACTGGCTTCAAGTTCACAAATTTCAAAGAGGACTCTGGGACAATTTCAATGAGGAATCTGGGACTGTTTTGTAAAGAGGACGGATAGTGATCTGACTGTGGATGTGGGACAAGAAAGAAAAATTCAGGATATGACAAATAAAAAGAAAGCAAAGGAGAGAGCAAAATGGTCAGAATTTGTGCCGGGAGAATGAGGGCAACAATAATCATATACCAGAGTTTATGTGCATACAGAGAACAGAACAAAAATCCAATGTTTCAAGATGTTTCTACAGCAGCAAAGATCTAAAATTAGCCAGCAAAAAAGTGTGCCTATTATACTCCTCTAATGACATTTCTCATGTAGTATGACAGCTGACTTTGCAATTTATCTATTGGAAATAAAGATGTCTGCTATTTCAGCAAGCAGCATAAAGACTTAAAGCATGGAATTTGAAACTCAGGTCCCAGTAAAATGCATACAAGAGAATTTATCTTCTTAAGTTTCTTTTTTCCTCTGTAGAAACCAGTTTTCATAGGAAACATTAAAAGAGCATAAAATTATATTGTAATATCAATGAATCAATTTCTGAAAAAGACAACATGAAGATAGACAAAGCAATTGAATTTTTTTTGTTTCCACAAAGTGCACAACACTACTATATTCTCTCATTACACAACTATATAATAACATTATTTATAAAATTTGTGTTATTAATGTATTCCATTCTATAAGACACACTATTCTTGGTAAAATAAATAGTTCTCTGGTGAAGGTAGGATGGAAACAGAAGCATTTTTTCTGTAATTATATTACTTAAAAGCTACCTTAGTTAACTCAAAAAAACCTGGACAAGCAGAGTCATAATTAATCTATGTTGAAGATTCACTAAAAACAATTGTGACATACAGGCTTTCAACAAACTTTTCAGAGGCACTCAGAATGGCGAACTTTTCTTGGAACAAATTTGAAACACTGGCATCTAAAGTATGGAAGTGATTTGCAAACCTGAATTGAACCAAAATAGTTGTACACCAAAAAGACCTCAACCTCTAATCCTCAAAATGGCACTGAAAATTAAAGGATGTGTTTAATCTTCAAGCGTTTCAGCTCTTCATCTACAAACAAAAAAAGTATCAGTCTACTTTGCTGGAATATTGCAAGAATTAAGAATTGACAGTATGTGGTGTACAAAATAAAAAACTCTATTAGAAAATCAGTAATTCTGCATTCAAAACTGGATTTAGACTAGAGTTCAACAAATAAAGCTTGGGACCACCCATCGAACATTAAGGACAACAGTAAATATTGAATAATTTGCCCCTCAGTGAACATTATCTGCTATGCACAGTGAATAAAACAGGAATCCTGTCAAGGAAAACTAGCAAGCAATCATTTAAAGACTGAATCACAGCACAAAAGAAAATGGAAAGGAATTCAGCTCCTACAAACAATTTTAACTCTGTTGTGCCTACTAATGTATGGTGTACAACCTTTCTTTTAACATTACATACACTGTAATACTTTGGAGACTACTATCTACCTTTAGCATTTCAAAAGAAAAATAGTCTCTTCATCTGTCTAGTTCAGGATGCATGCATTTCTTGTGACTGCTTGTCATGATGACTTTCATTAATTGGTTTAAAAAAAGCATATTATTGACAACTCTGATCTTTCTCATTCCATTGCAGGCCACTGAACACAAATATATGTAAATTCTAAACACAATAGTGATATGATACTTACCAACAAAGCATTTAACAAACCTTTACATAAATCATAATGAAAGAACTTCAAACTCATCAGACTTGGAAACATAGGAATTAATTTGTTTCATTTCACTCATTTAGAGAACATTTCAAAGTAATTTTACAAACTATTCTTCTAGCAAGTTAATATTAAGATGACACCAGCAAAATATTGTGCACTTTTCCTTGCAGGTCTAACATCAAATGGTAGTTTAACATCGTGCCTGTTGGCAGAATTTAATGCAATAAATCAGAACACACCAAAATGTTTATGATTCAACATTGACCCCAGTAAGTCATTAGACGATTAGTACCTGCATCTGTGCTTTCAAGAGCTGTTGGGCTGTGATTTTCTCTTTTAGCTGCATCATTTTTTCAATTCGTTGGTTAACTTGTTGATCTTTCTTAAGTTCATTTTCATAAAATTTAGAACCCTGAAAGAAAAAAAATCACAAAAACACTATGTTTTTCTTTTTTGTCTTTACCTTGTATTTAAGCAACCACATTTGATCTTTAAATAAAGAAAACATAAAACACAGAGATGGTTTCTAATGCCTGCTTTGGATTTTCATATAAAAATACACAAAAAAGCCCACTGGTTCTTTACATCTCTTCAAATGACACACATATATTTCCCCTGCTCAAAGGAGTTTAAGGAGTTATTAAGAGAACTTTGTATGTTTATTTAGTCTAACACCTGGCAATAAAAATTTTGAAAGAATAGATAAAAATCAAACTACTCATTGCAATATCTCCAAGGTATGGAGTACAAAACTCTAATTAAAATTTATCTTAGCATTTTTTTCAGACTTCCACATAGCTTAAGAAATATGGAAATATATAATGCCATTGTATAAGTCAAATTCACTTGTAATGTTGAGTTTTTTGTTGGCCATTCAATCTTGAAGGACACTGCAGAATCACAAGCTATTTGGAAGAGGATGATGAAAACCAAATGAGTATAAAATCTCCTATTGCTCTCATATATGTAACTGTCCCTTCAAAAAAAAGGCATGAATACAAGCAGATGTAAAAAAAAGAAAATAATCATGTACAGAATGTGTAATGTGACTTTCCCTCCTGATTCAGAACAAAGAAAGGAGGGTATATAATGAAGTAGAAAAGATAAAAATTCAAAAGTAGGAAATAAAATGTTTTTCTTGCAACATGTCTTAGCTTACAGCTTACATTTATATATAAGTGAAATAATATTTGCAAGAAAAGACTTATTTTGAACTTCTTGGTAAAACCTGCAAAAATGAACACATCTTTAGGTCAAAGTGTCTAACCACCAAACTGTCACTGATACCAAGGATTCAGCCATAGACAAGTCAGATTCAAGCATTTATATAAAAAGCAAAAATATCCACTTTCATAATAACTATAAAAAATATGATGGCAGAGCTGCAATATATCACGTTTCATTAGTAGAAATATCTAATTTAAAAAAATTAGGGTGTGTTTTCTTTGAATATCAGATATGCCCTTTTATCTTTTCTCACCTATGCTATCAAATATGACTTGCTGAGACCCACTGAAAGAAATGAGTACTCAAATGTAGGTGTGGAAAGTAACACAATTCTTGAGATCCTAAGTAAGTTTTAATTTTTTTTTCCATTTATTGCATTATTTCCCAGTTGAAATGCCATAAACCTTGCAGTACAGCTGAGGGTAGTGTCTGTAGGTGTCATTTTAAAGATTATAGAAAAGCTTAAGGAAAATAATCAATGCTTCTTTTTGGATTTTTTGATGTGTATCTGGCAATTATAAACTCTTGCACTTTTTTGACAGAAATATATTCAAGTAATTAGATGCCTATATGTCAGCTTTGAAAGGTTATTTTACAGTTCATTCTCTGGGATATGTCTGACAAAGCACTGCTTTCAAGAGAGAGTGAACACAATATAAAGAAGAAACAACTTGTCAATAAAAAGTCTGATAGCCTATAAAGTATCATCAATGTGAAACTGCAAGCAAAAAAAGGAAAAAGCTTGCTACATAAGAACTGTTTGCAGCATGTTTTCACTCTCTCTCCTCCTTTCTCCCTCTGCCCCACCACTGCAGATCACTACAGAGCAATATTAGTCAACATGGAATGCATGAGGAAAACGTCAAAGCACATAATCTTGGGCCATGATGACACCAAACAGAATACACACTTGTGGAAGGAAAAGTAAGAAAACCCTGACTTTCTCAGATAAAGTGTTACCCCTATACTGTTCTATTGCAACTCTCCAATAACAACCAGGATGACAAGTATTTCAATGGCTTGAAGAGTTGTGAGGGCCTCTGTGATCTTTAGTATAAAGCTGTACACTACTGGCCACTTCTCTTGAGTGCTGAGAAGACAGTCACAAAGACAGGCAGTAAAAACTCGATTACATCAAATTCATCACTTACAGGAAGGTGACCAAAAGAAGTAAATCTGCTTGGCTGACTGATTAATGATGGGGTGGACAAAAGGAATGGAAAGGCGGAGAAAAAGAGGAAGCTGCAGCCTCCACCATTACCTCTGGCAAATGCTGTAGTATTTATGTACTGCTTTGGACAAAAAAGGAGCACTTAAGCATATACTCAGTTATCATCCTTCATGTCCTTGTTGATGAATACAACAATACTCTAAAGTACACTAAACTATGGCCCTTCTCCTTCCTTCCCACATATAAATTTCTTCCAAGAAGATACTATCCATATACACACGTGAGGGATACAACTTGGGGAAGGGAGCGGGAGGGTTTTCAAATATTGGACCACAAAAAAAGCATTAGGAAATAAGTAATCAAACCAACCTTGGTAGCTTCCATGATGATTTTATTGATTTTCTCCTTATCCAAACCCTGCATTCCAGCTTTGTTATCATTAAGGCCCATTCTAAGTAGAAGTCCGTCATTGCAAGAGCTGTTAGAAACTTTTTTCATGTTGTCCATTGTATTTCTTGAAAACAAGTACCTGTTTTACGACTTAATATCTGAAAAAAAGTAATAAAATATTTATGTTTCAACTGAACAATAATTAGATTTCGTCATTAGTTTTATTTATCGTAAATATGAAGACTTATATTCCTACAAAGTAGCTGACCTGCCACACAGACCACATCAAACTACATAAAACTCTATCAGTGTTTGGATACAGTAAGACTCTTTTCTTATTAAATTAAAACCATTTTCCATTAAAACCTCCCTTACAGAAACAAGCATAGAGCAGCCTCAAGTAAAGGCTAGTACTTTAGAGGAAGTGGATTATATACTTTTATATGAATGGACATTCACTATACCTTACATATGAACATGACATTTATACCTGTGCATTATCCTGTCAGATGAAACATTACCACCTTAAACACAAAATACTGCCCCCTATTACATTAAAGAAAAAAAATTACAATATCTTTAAATTGAAGAAAACCACCCCTCATTTGGTCATCATCCCTGCTTGAGTCAACCTGTAGAATCCTTTCCAGTAATTTCTAGCTCAAATTCAGGACCTTGTTTGTGTCAAAACACATATTTTAAAAACAGATGGCTTCAATTAAAAGTTTTGAATAAAACCCTAATTCAGGATAAAATTTGTACTTTTTTTTTGCCATTAATGTGTTGTGTCACGGTATCCAACTAGTGGAACTTACCAAGCCCTTATTACTCAACTACAGTCATCTGTAATTTCTTATACATGCAGATACTTCTGGTATGTCAACTTCTGACGTCTTCCTTTGTTCTTTATGAAAGTAAATTGTTGAATCCTCAATAGGCTCTTATGATACGGTGAGCTGCTTAGTTATTAACTGATCTCAAAAAAATAAAGAAAGCAAATTTCATCTTCTGTACCATGAAACAATGGTCTTATTTCGTCAAATTCAAACAGGCAGACTCACAGAATAGTTTAAGTTGGATAGAACCTTTTAAAAGTCACTAACTCCAACCAAGGGACATCTTCAACTACATCAGGTTGTTCAGAGCCCTGTCCAACCTGCTATCAGATGTTTCCAGCAATGGGGCATCCACCACTTCTCTGGCAACCTGTGCCAGTGTCTCACCACTCTGACTGTAAAAACACATCCGATCTATACCAATCCTCCTCAGTAAAACCATTACCCCTTGTAATACTGCAAGAGGCCCTGTCAAAAAGTCCAAGTGTGATAAGGCTGTAAATTATTTAACATGTATTCATTACTGAAAAAGCATACAGAAACCATTTCTTCCTATCCCAAGTCACTGACTCATAAACCACTCCAGTTTTACTGTCATGCAGAATGGACATTCAACCGTCAACTTTACACTGCTGCCTGCGACAGGAACCCTCGCTATTTGGAGAAGCCCCACCCTTTTAGGCAAATACACCAGTTTTCTTAATCACAAAATACACAAATCTAAGAGTGTGTCATTTTTCCTTTAAATGCTCCTTTCCCGTGCCAGGACTTAAGTGGGCCTCATTAGCAACCAAACACAAGAAGGTCATTATGTGGTTTTGCATTTAGATGTGAATTTCTTTACTAAAGAACCACATGAATAACTTCTAAAAAATAATGATGGCAACATTCATATTTTCCTGAGGTCCTTCTGCTGAAACATACTAGCCAACTAAAGACAAGATATTAAAGAAACCCATGTTCACAAAAAATGTTCTGTCAAAAATATCTGAATTTCAATCATATGCTATTAATTCACATTACTGTTTATAGGGTCTGATGAAAAATGCAGGATCAGTTACATAATGCTGTGTTTATATACAGTGCATTGTATTACAAAGAACTTAAATCGATGTAGAGATCAGGACCCTGCTCTTAATCCTTCAGTTGCATTTGAGCTTCTGGGAATAGGAGTGGCTTCACAGCATGTATATTTATCAAATAAAAGACTACAATGCTGAACATTTTCAAAGATTTTTTCAGCTGCAGTAGGACAATCTCTTACAGTTAACATACACATTTATCAGAACAGGTTTGCCAGACTTCAATCAAAGCAAAAAGCACTGCATCCCAAACAACATTCCAAATTTCATCTCATGCTTATAAGCACCCCTGTATAAACTAGCTCCCAGTAATTCCACTGTTACTGGCAATCTCTGGTAAGTAATGAGCAACATTTCCAAGGAATATTTTCATCAAAGTAAATATCCCTTCATTATTCTCCCTGCTTCTTTTATCATCCTTGCCTTCAAGAAACAGGAATGAACACAAGATTGCTTCTCAAAATGTTTTTAGCTGTTCCTTATTCCTAAAAGTGTCTTTCTCCCTAACATGTACAAATCTTTCCCCTTCCTCATTCAGAGCACTCTTAAAGGTTGAGTTTATAGCTGAGGCTTTAAAAACTAATTTATGTTAGTCAAAAGAAAGTCTTCTCTATCTCATTGTTACACATCTAACAATAAAAAAAAATTACCATGATAATCACAGTGATGGAAAAAATAATTGTCATTATAAAGTTTCATAAATGGTGATCACCTGGTGAATTTCATCTTTTCAGCTTATTGTGTGGAACAAAATATATTGCTAGACTCAGATAAGAAAAAGTATAAATATCAAATAATATCTTAGCAGAAATTAAGAAGAAAATATGTATCTGAGGACATGACATTTGTTGTCCACCAGAGCTTACAGGTGTACAGAAAGGAAAACATGAATAACAGGTGATAAAATTTCCACCTGCTTAATATGAAGAGAACCTGAACATTACCTTGGTTTCAAATTAACAGGTCTGAAAAAAAATCCATAAAATATTTAACACACTGAAATTAATCACAATGGCTACAATAAGACAACTGATACGGAACTGTCAGATAAAATCAGTGCTCATTTGCCACAGGTGAAAATGAAAAAAATCAAATGTAACAGAGAAGCAGCAGAGTTTTAAACTGCAAAATGTGAACAACATGTCAATGGAGAAACATTGTAACTGTTTCAATTAGGATAGAGAAAACACTGAGCTAGTGGTGACAATTTTTTCACTAAAAAAATTTGGAAAAAGTGGGTAAGGGACTAGAATCTAACGAAACAGTCTACAGAGAGTGACATACTTTTGGCATGCTGTTACCTCAAGAAGCTGTTGCAAGACAAAGCTGCTTCCTCTCATACAAAAGATGACATCGCCCTCAGTTTCACAGTGAGCAAGTAGTGTGTGAAACCAGAGGAATCTGTGAAGGCAGTCTTTAGCAATGTAGCAAAAACCCTATTATTCCTGTGACTGGGGAATTAGGGGAAGCAGGAAAATCATATGTAAGTGGAAGGAGATAACTTTCCAGTTGCTAGAGAAGGATTTCTAAATGTAAAGACTTTGGCAGTGAGTGTCAACGGTTAATGTAAAGCAAACCAACAAACAAGAAAAAACATTGAGAAGAACCACAAAATACCATTACTGTGCAGAAAGTTCCATGAGTAAGCTGGCATGCCTACAAGTGGGAAAAGATCACTAATTAAACTGTAATCAAGCTCTTCTAGCATCAGGCACAGAAACTAAACTATTAAGACAGGGTTATATAGTATTTGAAAGTGTCAAGAGAAACAGCAATAAAATTAGAGCAACAATTTAATTTCAAGTGCCTTTACCTTCATTCAGAGATAGCATTTTTTTAGCAGTTGATTGAACCAACCTAAAGGAAATTACTTGTATTTGATCCTGTGCAACTCTTCCAGCTTGTCTTCCTTAAAATCTTCCAATTCCAGCAACATAAACGCTGTATACAGTATGAAAAGTTAAATGCCTTTAAATTACAGTTTCCATGTAATAAAATAATGCAAAATATACATTTTGCATATAAATATAAACAATGCAAAGTATACATTTATAATAGTCTTATATTTGTATATAAGAATATTCAGTTCAGTAGGCGTAGTGCTATTATGTACATTATTAACATTTTCAAAATATGTTAACAGTTCATCTTTTGTTGACCATGTTAACAACATGGGAAGAACTATTAAGGCTGGAAAATGACACCAGTATGGAAAAGCTTGAAAAATAATTCATTTGCATACTGAGTTATTGCTCAGTGCATGTAAGTTGTGTACCTGTCCTTTTAAATAACATCAATTCTGATATGTTTGCTATTGCATATTCTCATGACAATGTGAGCTGCAAAGAAGTTACTAGGAGACACAATTGTCAACTGAGCCCAGAGCTCAAAACCTGAACAAAAGAATCAAAACATATAGCACAGACATAAAAGACTGTCTTTTACACCCTAATTATCCTAAGTAAGTCTCCATGTTATGCAAAAAAGAATTGAATAAATGTTGCAAATAGCAACACAAATATTAGAGACTCTTTCCCAAATTATCTTTTAATTATTATCCTCAGGATGCCTAAAACAAGCATCTAAATTAAATATTTTTCTTAATTTCTGTAAAACTCATAAAACCCGCCAAAAACATTGCATCAAAATCTGATACATCATTTACTGTAGCAAGAGCCCAATAAACTTCCTATTTTCTCTCAATTTATATATTTCAGAGATTCCTTTATTTAAAGGCATGTTCAGGAAAGCATATCAGACTGTCCTTCTAACTATCTGCTCAACCCCTATTAGCCACAGGGGGTTTGATTTTTACTAGAGGCTTGGCTTCCTGAAAAACTCCTGCTAGTTCTAATCCTGTAATGATTTACAAGAAAAGACCTGGCAGGAGGAAGTGCACAAGAATGTTGTCATTTAATACATATACATTAACATACATGGTGTTAACCACATAGATTCCCAGCTAGTCTGCTCAAAACTACTGTTTCACTATTCTCTCGCTCTCAAAATATAAAACAAACAAGTTCTTTAGAAAAAGGAATCTTTCAATAAAGATGTAGTATCTTTACAAATGTAATAAGCCAGAGCACATGATAAATTAATACTGAAGACAAAACTGGGCCAAATTCATGGAAGTGAAAATTCCAAGTGCTCAAGCTGACACATATGAAATGAGAGAACTTTTAAAGCAGCAGATGACTCAGCATTTTACAAAAAGATAAATCCCATACAAGCGCCTGGAATTAGTCCTGAAAAAACAAGGTTCTGTATACTCACTGACTTTTAGATGTAACAAATTACAGGCAAATCCACCTTTTTAAACATTAAATAATTCATACTTAAAGTAAACAGTTAATAGACACTGCTTCTGACAATATTCAAAAATAAATGTCAAAATATTTTATGCCATTCACCAAACTGTCTGAATATTTCCTTGCTTATGTGAAGAGTAACCCAAGTAAAAGAAGTGGAATACTAACCGCCTATCAATTTTCTGTAGGCAAGATGCAAAGCAATTCTGTTCTAAATTCTGCTTTCAGTTTCTCTGTCAAAAGAAACCTTTCAGTTTCTCTGTCAAAAAATACTCATGTCTTTAGAACATGTACGTTTATTTGAAGAGTAAAGAACCATGGTATCTTCTGCCTGTACCCAGTATTTTAAATGACCTTTTCAATTCAAAGATTTATCTCAAGTCTTAAACTAAGTTTTCCTTGCACTTCTAGATTACTGAAAACAAAGGCTTTAGTAGTTTAATCCATAAAGAAAATAATGAAGGAACTGAACACTCATCAGTAAAAGCCCCACCAGAGGTAGTGTAGTTATCTGCAACCTGGCTTCTACAGACATATTTAGTGCCAACAGATTCATATACCTTTTTTTTTTTACTTTTTTAACTTAGAAATAAAAGCCTAATACAGTGATTCACAGAGAGCAAAGCTGTTTTAGAATAAAGCGTCTGAATCATTATTATTTCTGAGTCTATGCTATTAGGCAATACACTGTGGCATAACAAAGTTCCTTTAAGGATCCTCCTAAGAAAAACAGTCTTAAATTTCAGAACAAACAGAATGCTAAGCATGAACACACAAGAAAGTGGTGAGGATTCTGTTTTAAAAACATAAAATTAACACCCTAAAATAGAAGTTATGGGAGTGGAAAAAAGATACATAAAAAGGGAGAAGAAAAAAATAGGTATTCATGAAGTTACCCACTTGACAGTGCTCATTATGACTGACATTCCAAGCAGCAAAACACAGCGCTCCCAATTTTGGTACTACAAGTAGCATACACAACATTGATACAGAACACTATCTGTCACGCTGTTCTAATAAAGGTGAGGTTTTTACATTTAATACAGTAATTTGCAACTTCCTGCAATCCCTAAGACTCTAGAAGGGGTACAGACTGAGTACAGGGACACTTGCTATGAAAGAACAAACACAGCAATAAATCACAAAATAACGGTTCAGTGAAAAAGGTATAGAAGGAGCTAAAGAGGAGAAAGTGCATCTGGATACCAGTATGATTTTCTACATTTTCTATGCTTTGGTTTGTATCCTAGATTGGTCTTGGCACAGGCAAACCTGATTCTTTTATAACAATACATAACGGGAAGACTGATTTTCCAGAGCACACCTGCTAAACTACAATTGTTAATGTAATGCCCTCCAAGGGATCAAACTACTGTAGTCTGAAAAAAAACACTTCTCAAAACGTATCTAAGAACTTCAATTCCTCAGCACTAAACCAGTCCTTTACAAATCTACTCCCACTGCACCCCATTGCTGCTGAAAAGGGTATGGCCTTATCTCATTAAGAGTGACAGACAATATGTTATGCTTCTAAAAAACGGTCAGAACATTGGAAAGAAAGGGTAATTTACATAAGGTATTCACAATTGCAATACAGCTTTTGGAAGAAGATAAACTGGTGACACTGTGTTGAGAAACAAGATACATTGGAAGCATGTGGCAGATGTTAACAAAAATCTATTACCTAGCATAGCCAATGCATTATATGAAAAGCTGAAAATGCAAACCTTTAAGCATTCAATACTTTTTCACTTCAAGTTTGTAAAATGCTAGCCACAATTAATCAATAAAACAAATACTCTCTCTAAAAAGGATGGGTATGTTTGTCAAACGACCTGAAAAAATATCTACCTGATGCATTTTTAGTATGTAACACTTGATTGATTCAGTGTTCTAGAGGGGGAATAGAAAAAGCAACCTTCATCTGTAACGAAGTGAATAGAAAAAGCATGACAGGAAATGTCTGTGTACATGCTACTGCCACTGCTAAAAGGACTTGCTCAGACATGTTTCTTCAGCTCCTACTCCTGAAAAGCAGTTCATTCTGAATTTAGCTGGGAAAACACAACAGGCTTTACAGGTAATGCCAACTAACTTCAACAACGTATTGCTATTGTTCAACAACATATAAACTATTCTCATACATATCAATACTTACAAAGCCTGCTTCACAAATACAATACATAAAAACGAACGCTAAGGAGAAAAAAATGCACTTGGTTTCTTCCCAAACACGTAGTGAATCAAAAAACATTCGGTTTTGGCAAATTGTCTAAAGTAGCACTCACAGTAGACTTCTGTAAAAGTTTTTTTCCTGTACATTGCAATGATTATGAAAATATTAAGATGTCTGTGACTATTTTTTTTGTTTTATTTCTAATAATATAGGACACTTATGCTGCCTTTTGAATTATCCTCAGTTTTGCCTTCATTGTAATTATCTTTATATCTGAGACTTTGAGCAGCAAGAATATTATTTAACTTTTAACTGCTATATATAGAGAATGCATATAAGTAGGTGTGACAATGTTCTTTAAAAAAAAAAAATCCTCAACGGAAACTCTCAAACAGCCTAACGGGAAAATTACACAATATGTCATAAGGAAGAAGTCAGAGAAAACAGAATTGTGCAGCACTGCTCTTACAACAGAAACAAAAGTGTATCTTCCCAACCCGAAATTTCCTCAACCAACATTCTTTAACACACTTTTCCCCCGCCCAAGAAATCAGGAGAGAGGACATGAGTTAGTACAAACCTTAAGTTTTTCCCAAATCACTATATTCGCTGTTCATAAACCATGAAGTGACAGGTACAGCACAGATGGGGTTTTTTTTTCCCCATCCTGCAAATACATCTCCACCCATAACTATCGACGAAAACACATAGTTCAGACTAAGTTGGAGGGGGAAAAAAAAAAAATCACCGTTTCTCTCCGCAAACTACGAAAGCAGTCTAATAAACGGAAGCCAGGACACGCGTAGAAGCCGGCAGCCGAAGCGCTGACCCGTCACGGCTGCCCGGCTCTGCCCTGCCCACCCCACCCCTTGCGCGGCGCCGGGGAGGCAGAGCCCGGACGGCTCCGAACGGCTCGCCCTTCCCTCTCGTTCCCCTCCCGCCCCTTCCCGCCGCCTCCACCATATTTGATTAGGGAAAAACTTGGCGCTCAGCCCCCTCAACTGTCCTCCGAGTCCCGCCGGTTTGAGGCGAGCAAGAGAGGCTATATCTCCTCGCCCTTGAAAGCGGGCAGAGCCGGAGAGACCCTTCGCCTCGCTAAAGATAAAGCGAATACCTCTGCACAAACGACAAAGCAAACATCGCCCCGGGCAGCACCGTCGCCCTTGGTAGAGGAGCTCCCCTTCCCCGGGGGCACTGAGGCGATGCTGCCGGCACCAGAACGACGAAACCAAGATGGCGGCCGCACTCCGTCGGAGTGAGACTACATCTCCCAGCACGTCCTGCGGCACGGGGGAGGGGCAATGGCGCTCGGACTCACGGCCGCGCGGGGCAGGACTACAACTCCCGCGGCGCGCCGTGGCGGGGTGGAGTGCTTGTCGATGAGCGCCCGCCTCACATAAGATGGCGGCGACGGGAGCGCGCTGAGCGGGTGCCCAGCAGGCGGACGCGCGCTCGCCCCTCCTCCCCTCGCTGTCCCGGTGTTGTGGCTCTGGCCGCGGGCGGGGTCTGAGGGGCCGCGGCGAGGGGATCCCGGGGCTGCGAGCCTGGTTGCCGGCCGGTCGCTGGCAGGGGCGGGCGGCGCTCGGTGGCGGCACCCGCTCGAGTAGAGCCCGGCGCTCCGGTCCCTTCGGCAGAAGAAGGCTGCTGTGGGCGGGGGCCGCTCCGGCTCTTTCCCAGCTCGGCGGTGGCTGCGGCTCCGGTCTCCATGTCGGACAACCAGAGCTGGAATTCCTCCGGCTCCGAGGAGGACCCCGAGACCGAGCTCGGACTGCCTGTTGAGCTCTGCGGGGTGCTCAGCAAGGTAAGCCGCCTCTACCCCGTTCCTGCGCCTTGCCGCCCCCCCGTCTTCCTCGCTGTCAGGCCCGACCGGCCCGGGGGCTCGGGCCGAGGGGCCCGGTGGCGGGGGGGCCGGGCGGCTCCGCGGGCGGCGCTGGCACGGCCGGGGCACCGCCACCTGACGGCGGAGCCGCTGCCAGGCAGAGCCGCGGTGGCGCCGGGCGCCCCCTCACTCAGCCCCGCCGCCCCCTGCGGCCGGGGGGAGCCTTTCTTCGAGCAGAGTCGCGGTCCCCGCCGCCCCCCGAGCCCGCCGGCCGCACGGCGCGGGGCTCCGGCAGCCGCGCAGGGAGGGCGTCTCCCCGCGCCTCGGGCTCCGGCCGGAGCGGCGCCGGGCCTGAGTGTCGCGGATACCCGGGTGCTCCCGGAGGTGCCCGCAGCCAGTCGTGTTTCCTCGGGAGCAGGCACGACTTTGAGTGCAAGTATCAAAACTGGGCATTGAAATACTCCTGCGACAAGAGATAACGGGAGGAGAGGAAAAGGAAAATGGCTATACGGCTTATTTCCCCTTTTAAAAATAACCGTAGTTATTTTCTCTTTTATCGCTGGAAATAAGGTGGCTTCCGAGCATGGGTTGGTTTATACTGGAAAATTTTATTTTCAGAAGTACTTTAGAATATTGTATTACTTAGTTTCTTGCGGATATTTTATTTTTTTATTACAGAAAGTATATTCAGAATAACGCTGAAATATCTAAGATTAAAGCACTATGTTTTGAAATTTTTTTCTTGTCCTACGCAATAAGGCTAGGCACAAGCCAACGTAGGAGGCACGAGATACAGAGATCTTACACTGCCCTGAATGCGTAGAAAACAGCCATAACTGAGTTCACACTTTTGTGAGGGACTTTGTGAACTCCTTCCAGGCTGGAAATGTTTCTAACCCCAGAGATAAGAGGAATGGTTAGTAGAAGAGCAGGATCTCTGCTCTCGTTTGTAAGATCTTACCTAATAGTGGATGGTGAAAGGAGGGGATGAGATGGATGTGAGATAGTGTTAGTTACAATAAGAGATTTTTGTTTGGTGTATTTTGCTGTTTTGTTTGCTTTTTTTCACAGCAAAGTTTTCCTTGGGTAAGATGCTTCCATCGTTAGAAGGGAAGTAATTTATGGGATGTAATTAATTTTTATGTTAGCAAATTAAATACAAAGTCCAGGTGCTTTTCTTAGTGGAGTAGCTGGTGAAGCCATACCTACAGACATTCTAGCCGAGGTATGTGCAAACTTTTTACTTTTGTGCATGATTATGCTGAGTGTAGCAGAGAGTATCTTTCCCATGAGAACCCGGAATTTAATCTGAATAGTCAAGTATGACGAAACCTGTCTCAATGAATATGATTGAGGGGTAAGGTTACCCTTTTGTTAGTTGATACCTCAGTAATTATTAAGGTAAACTAATTTAAATGGCATGGTAGCATACTGAACTTTCTACTAAGGAAATACCTATTTTTAATATCTTACTGTGTATAATTAAATTCTGAGATCATAGAAGTGGGCTGCGGTTCACTGTGTGAGTAGTAGTTTTAGTAGTTCTTGCCTTCAGTAAAGAGAAAAACTGTGAAGGTAATGGAGGAATTTGGTAAGAGAAACTTGTTAGGAGTGTATCCTGCTGGACTTTTGAAATGTTTTGCAACTCTTTTTTCCATTGTATTTCCTGCTAATGATTTTAAGGTGGATACAGAGAAAGAACTTCAGTGGAAGAGACTTTCAGGAAGCATGAGAATCTAGATGCTTGGAAAAACACTGGTCTTTTCCCTGTCAAAACCTCATGCCTACCCAAATATACTTAAAGGATGGCACATGTGGATTGCAACAGCAATGCAAGATTGCAACAGCAGATTGCAAGATTCACTGCTATGTCTCTTAACTTTTCAGAGAACAAAAGGTCGTTTTCTTTGGGCTTTTTTTTCCCCCAAGATAACTTTGGAGTCTGCCTTGCAGATCTTGGGAGGAGTTGGGAACATGAGAGATAGGAAAAGAGGAAGGCAAGAAATAATACACCTCTGACTGCCTGTGCTACCACTTCATGCACCAAGCACACTTGAGGCTTTCTTTAAGTAATGCTGCATTGGCATTTAGATGTATTAAGAGATGAAAAAGGGCTTTATATTTTAAGAGCAAATCAAGATCTTGCCTACATTTGAAAATTGTTAAGAATTTCTTAGCTGTAATTGTTTTCTTTAGACCTCGTCATCTTATTACTGAAGTTAACATGTAATTATGGAGTATGTATTAACTAATGTATGTAGTACAAAGTGGCAATGAGACTCTTAGTTGACTTTTCCCCCTCATTTTTTAGATTACAAAATAATGAATGATGGATAGACTTAAATGTTAACCAGAGTTTTTCATGAAAGAACACTTGTCAAATAAATGCTTGTATGATAAGATTGATTCCAGTGCTTTTGTTTCTATTTTTATCAAATGTATGACATTTGCACCATGATTGATTAATAAGTATCAGTGTATTGTCAGAATTATTGGTTAGTCCTGATTTTCTATTAGTGTCAGATGATTCTGTAAAGTTCATATGATTCTACAAAGTGTAGTCAGAAGAAATGTTGCAAATGTAAGAATAGTAATCAGAACTTTCGGTCACTTTTTACTAGATGTCTCTAGAATTAATCCAGAATTTGTTCCCAGAATATTGATTTTGTTCATTATGTGAATGTGGAGTCCCTAGAAAAATCTGAATAGCAAAAACATGATTGGATGTCTGCTGTAACCAAGTATCCTCTTAGTAAAAGTAGTTAGAATTAAAGCCTAAAGCAGTATCTATGGGCAATATTAAATTAATAAAGCACTGAGTCCCCTAGGTATTACAGTAGTTATTTACAGTGCTGTGGGATAATGGCATGTTTGTATTTATATGAAGATAACTTTATATCATATTTTATATAAAAGAAATTATTCCATGTTCCCCTTGTCTTTTGGCCTAGCTCCAGATTTTAAATCAGGTGCCTAAACTCACCTTAGTCATTAATGTTGTTTTTTTTTCTCCCCTCCCCTGTCAGTATGTTTATTTCCTTTATTGTGACGGGCCGTGGCAGTGCAGTTGGAGTCCAGACATCTCTTGTCTTATTGACCCTTCAAAACAAATGGTTTTTGGTTGTTTTGGGAGTTTGTAAAATTATTCTAGGAGCTCTGAGGAGAAAAAAGTTTCTCATTTAGAAAGAGCTTGTAAAAATAAGTTACCTGTTTCTTCAGGTACTCAAAAGCCTAGAAAACATCCATTGTTCTTTTATTGTTGTCTTATTGTTGGCTGATCTCAGGAAAATTTTTTTACAGTGGACCAACTATATTCATGGGTGGCAGGATCGATGGGTAGTTCTGAAAAGCAACACACTCAGTTATTACAAGTCTGAAGATGAAACTGAGTACGGCTGCAGAGGCTCTATCTGTCTGAGCAAGGCTGAGATTACAGTAAGTACAATTTTATTATTGACATCATTCATGTTTTGAGGTGCTAAATATTTGTGTCTGGAGAAAACAAACATGGGTATGGCAAATTCTTTAAGGTCATCTGCTTATGGCAGTGGCATCAGTGGAACACTGTGGAGCAGGGCAAGGAATTCCTAATGCTAAAACAAACTCTTTTAATTTGTGGCTTCAGCAAGCAACTTTTCACTTCTTACACTAGAGGGTTTTGTGGGTGGATAGACTGTCTGGCTCTGAAGGGTGCAAAGTTTTTTACATGGTCAATTTAAGACCCCCAACCAGCTTCCCAGAGGAGGTATCATCCTTCACAATCTTTGCTCTAGAAAGAGTGTAGTGGTTCTTTGAATGTGGTTCTTGACTTTCTGAACACAACCCTGTAGATTTCCAAAAGAAAATGTTCGTCTCTGTGAACTAATGTTCCTCTCTGTTCTTCTTTCTCTGAACAAGTTAGTGTGTTGCTGTTTTTGTCAAATGCTAAAAGAAGGTTTAGAATAGACTAGTGAGAGTAAAGAACCTCTGCATAAATGAGCATAAGTGTTATGAGGATTGGCTGAGGGGGCTGGGGTTGCTTAGGCTGGAGAAGA